ACCTGGCACGGGCACTGTAGCCAGCCCGTGCCCCTTTAAGGGGTCCGGGGCCGGGAGGGGGGGCAGAAGAGTTTCCCTGGTGTTGGCCAGAGTGGCCACCAGGGAAACCTGGGGAGGGCTAGCCTCCCCTTAGTTCAAATTAAGGGGCTACACACCCCTTAATTCTAACTAGCTAGTTCGAACTAGGTAAACCTCATTACACGAGGATTAAGCCTAGTTCGAACTAAGCGCTCCGTTAGTTCGAATTAAATTCGAACTAACGGAACGCTAGTGTAGCGCCTATGAAAGTTAGTTCGAACTAACGTCTGTTCATTCGAACTAACTTTGTAGTGTAGACATACCCTAGGTTAGGCTAAAAGAGGTACAAAACAAGGGTGATGTCATGCTAAGGGTCTACTACAGGCAACCTACGCAGGCAGAAGAGGTGGATGAGACTTTTTTTAAACTACTAACAAAATCATCCAAAGTGCAATATTTGGTGTTGATGGGGGACTTCAACTATCCAGACCTATATTGGGGAAATTAACACAGCGGGGCACAGACTATCCAATAATACTTGGAAGATAATAAGGTCATATGGAACAGCTAGCATGTATTTGGAAAGAACAAATCATGTCAAACCAATCTGATAGCTTTCTTTGATAGTCTTGAGGTTATGGGAGAAGCGGTGGATGTGGTATACCTAGACTTTAGTAAGGCGTTTGATACTGTCTCGCATGATATTCTTATCAATAAACTAGGCAAATACAACTTAGATGGGGCTACTATAAGGTGGGTGCATAACTGGCTGGATAACTGTTCTCAGAAGATAGTTATTAACAGTTCACAATCCTGCTGGAAGGGCACAAGAAGTAGAGATCCACAGGGGTCTGCTTTGGGAGAATTTGCTTATTAAGTTTGCAGATGACACCAAACTGGGAGGGGCTGCAAGTGTTTTGGAGGATAGCATCATAATTCGAAATGGTCTGAGGTAAATTGGATGAAGTTTAATAAGGACAAATGCAAAGTACTCCACTTAGGAAGGAACAATCAGTCTCTCACAGAGGGTATGTCTACACTACCCTCCTAGTTCGAACTAGGAGGGTAACGTAGGCATACCGCACTTGCAAATGAAGCCCGGGCTTAATTTGCATAAGCGGGGAGCTGCCATTTTTAAAACCCCGCTAGTTCGAACTAGCGGGGTAATGTAGACATACCGCACTTGCAAATGAAGCCCGGGCTTAATTTGCATAAGCGGGGAGCTGCCATTTTTAAAACCCCGCTAGTTCGAACTAGCGGGGTAATGTAGACATACCGCACTTGCAAATGAAGCCCGGGCTTAATTTGCATAAGCGGGGAGCTGCCATTTTTAAAACCCCGCTAGTTCGAACTAGCGGGGTAATGTAGACATACCGCACTTGCAAATGAAGCCCGGGCTTAATTTGCATAAGCGGGGAGCTGCCATTTTTAAAACCCCGCTAGTTCGAACTAGCGGGGTAGTGTAGACATACCCATACAGAATTGGAAGTGACTGTCTAGGAAGGAGTACTGCAGAAGGGAATAGAGGGGTCATAGTGGACCAAAGCTAAATATGAGTCAGTGTGACACCGTTGCAAAAAAAGCAAACATGATTTTGGGATGCACTAACAGGTGTGTTGTAAGCAAGACACGAGAAGTCATTCTTCCACTCTGCACTGATTAGGCCTCAGTTGAAATATTGTGTCCAGCTCTGGGCACCACATTTCAAAAAAGATGTGGAGTAATTTGAGAAGGTCCAGAGAAGAGCAACAAGATTGATTAAAGGTTTAGAGAACATGACCAATGAAGGAAGACTGAAAGAATTTTGGCTTGTTTAATTTGGAAAAGAGAAAACTGAGAGGGAACACGATAATAGTTTTCAGGTATCTAAAAGGGTATCACAAGGAGGAGGGAGAAAATCATTCTTCTTGGTCTCTGAGGATAGAACAAGAAACAACAGGCTTAACCTGCAGCAAGGGAGGTTTAGGTTGGACATTAGGAAAAACTTCCTAGCTGTAAGAATGTTTAAACACTGTAATAAGTTGCTTGTGGAGGTTGTGGAATTTCCATCTTCAGAGATATTTAAGAGCAGGTTAGATAAATGTCTATCAGGGATGGTCTAGACAGTACTGGGTCCTGCCACGAGGGCAGGGGACTGGACTTGGTGACCTCTCGAGGTCTCTTCCAGGTCCAGTGTTCTATGATTCTATGAGAAGGAGGAAGTACCAATCAAAGGGTAGACCAGAGATGAGGTCAATTCAGTCAGTGATGATGTATCCCACTTCCAGCAGCTGATGCGGAGATGTGAACACTAAGGGTGTGTCTAGACTACAGGGTTTTGTTGACAAAAGTGGCCTTTTGTCGACAAAAGTATTCCTGCATCTGCACTACCGCTGAGTTCTGTCCATATAACGTCAACAGAACTCGGCAGTTTTGTTGACGGTTGTAAACCTCATTCTACGAAGAATAACGCCTTTTGTCAACAGAGTTCTGTAGACAGAAGGTGTTCTTGCATTTACACAGTCCTTTGTGTCTATACACTCATGTCAACAAAGCAGCTTGCTTTGTCGACAGAACTGGCTGTAGTCTAGATGCTCTTTGTCAACAGAAGCTTTGTTGACAGTCTCTGTCGACAAAGCCTCTGTCAACAAAAGCCTGTAGTCTAGACGTACCCTCAGAGAGGAGAAACTGCTTTTGTAGTTGGCTAGCTATTCACAGTCTTTGTTCAATCCTAAATTGATAGCATCAGATTTGCAGATGAATCGTAGCTCTGCAGTTTCTCTTTGAAGTTTGTTTTTGAAGTTTCTCCTCTTTTGGTGTTCATACCTCCCCATCAGCTGCTGGAAGTGGGACACATCATCACTGACTGAACAGACCTCATTATCTCTGGCCTTCCCCTTGATTGGTACTCCCTTCTTTACATGTGCCTGAATGTTTATACCTGCCTCTGGAATTTCCACTACATGCATCTGATGAAGCGAGTCCTTTGCCCACGAAAGCTTATGCTCCAATAAATCTGTTAGTCTATAAGGTGCCACAGGACTTCTCGTTGTTTTTGAAGAAACAAACTGCATATGAAACTTCAGGACTGGCCAACTATTTGGAATCTGAGCTGAGTTTCTCATTTGCTGTATCCTGTGAGGGTCAGGAGGTCTGGAAGCCATCTGTACTACTGCTTAGGAAATAGAACGAATTTAGGATTTTTCCAGGTACATGGATATTATCAAGCTGCTTTTTCCTCTTAAGCGACAGATCCAAAGGGAACCCAACTGGTTATTATAACATTGAGTTTATGCAGGAGAATAATGGAAGCATTTTGGGGGGGACATATGATAGTCTGTCTGACTTCTAAAGAAAATCTCAAAAAATACCTTTAAAGTCTGAATTTAATATTTACAGTAATAAGTATAAAGAACACCATTACCATATTTTCAAAGATTAAAATTATGGCTCTTACAAAATTAATTCTGCGTGGTCAAAACGTATGCGGTTCATAAGGCTCCTCTTAATATAGCCACTAAAAAAAACAAGACAGTCATTCATACGATCTGTAACTGTACTGAGATCCCTTTCCATCCAAAGCTCCAATGCAATCAGAACAACACGGAGGCCAAATGGACGATACATCTAAAAACATAAATAATAAAAAAATGTCATTTCCTTGTATTTCTTTGAAGCTATAATCGTTCAGATAATCCAAACAGCTGATATTGCTCTCCAATCTGTGTTCCTGTTTACCTCTTTAGCCACAGAAACTGCATAGCAGCTCAGGCTAAAACCATAATGTTAAAGGGACATCGTTGTTGATCTGAAAAATCTTATTTCTGGCTTGAGTTACAAACAACACTCATGACTACTGAAGCTGAAAGAACTTCTTAGAAAAAATATTTTTTCATTTATTTATTTTATAGTATTAGCTGTACTTCATGTACAGCCAGTTTCTCTATTCCAGTTATATACACTTCTACTTTCTATCCTCATACATTAAGATGACATCACCACTCTCATGTACAACTCTGAGGTTCTCATGTGTATCATGCTTCCTGAAACTGAATGGGGGCTACTCTTACTGACTTACTTACCCTCATATTGCAGAGAACACTCCAATAGTATGTTGGCAGAATGCTGAACTGAATGAGGCTTGATCAAAGATCTATGCAGTAACTGAACCAACACAATGTCAAACTTTTTAAAAGGATATTCATAATTGGTTAAAAAAACCAAACTGATTTCTAAAGTTTACATTTTTGGTAGAACATCTGTAATGTCCTAATAAATCTATTAGTCTTTAAAGGGCCACTCGACTCATTTTCTCAGATATGTACATCATTGACATTTAGAACAAACCTATTGGTTTAAAAGGTATTTATGATGGTTCTTTTGCTCTCCCATTGATTTTTATAGGGTCTTT